CATTCTTAGGAAAGAGGTTTTTTTCTTTTTTGTTGTTTGTTTGTTTGTTTTTTGCGGTGCTCTTACCCTGTGAGGAAACATCATGAAACACGACAGAATCCACTAACAAGAGTTTTATTAAGGTAAGGGAGAGGGACAGATGTGCACAGGCCTGCGGAAAGACATGTGAGTGAAGTGGGTCCAGGAATCACGGTGCCGGCTTATAAAGGCTGGGCCGCGCCTGCGCACACAGGGCCATGTGACTATTCCACACGTGCGTGTAGATCACATGGTTGCGCTGCATGCTTTATGAAACCACAAAAAGCCACGGGGTGAGACGTTTTGACCCGGAAATGACTAGGCAGAAGTGGCTAGGTCCCGCAGGGCATGCGCGACCATGCACAACCATGGGGGCATGTTGTGAATACATATCAGAGGTCCCATGTACTTTGCAAAAGAGTTTGCCATGATGCTTATCACAAACCCTTCCTCCCCAGACCCTTATCCTGAGCTTTGGTGTGATAATTGTCAGGAGGAAACTTTTTTTCCCAAGTTGTACTGTGCTTAAATATGTTAAAAATAAAGCACTTGGGATCAGACTTCAGAAGTTTGATCAGCTCGGCTAACTCAGTCATATGAGCTGAGCTTCCTTCTTACCTCACAAGAACTGAGGATGTTTCTCTGTGACTGGAGAGCTTCGCTACTGCTCTTTATCCTGCACACTCAGGGCACACTCAACTTCTGTGGGAACAAGCTTCCTTTTCATTAGTTATCATCCCCCTTCCTCCACTGTCCACCTTGACTCTTTTGAGACAGGGCCCCTCGCTAAACTATAACTCACCACTTCAGCTTGGCTAGCTGGCTATCGGACCCCCAGGATCTACCTGTCTCTCCTCCCAGCACTGGGATTACAAGTGTCTACTGCCACATCTGTCTTCTTCATGTAGGTCCTGGGGATTGAAATCACATCCTTATGTTCACAAGGCAAGCAAGTTACTGAATGCATTGTCCCTCCAGCTCCAGATCTTTGTTCTCTGGTCTACAAGGCAACAGAGCCAACCTACCAAGTCATCTTAGAAATTCATCCAGGGCTCAATTATTTGCTTAATATTAGTGTTTGATGAGTCGATTGCTATAGTTAGTAGATATACACAGCTATAAAATGAAGTGTCAGCTGCCAAAGAATTCATAGTTTACTAAGGAAAACAAAATACAAGTTAAACATGATATGTTAGTAGATATAAACCAAGGAGGAGTAACTAACTCCAGTTTGGGGGATGGGTACTGGTAAGACCTTAAGAGGTCTCAGGAGTGGAGGTATGATACCAAGTTCCAAATGACAAATTCAAGTTCTTCAGTTCATGGGTGGCAATTCTGGTAGGGAAGGAGGTTCCCAGCAGAGGGAGGGGAAGCCTCTGTGAAGGTCTGGAGGTGCGGTAAGCACACTGGCTCTGGCATCTCTAATTGGATTTGACTGGGGCTCAGGGCACATAAGGTGGTATGGGCAGTTAGCGTTCTGACCATCAAGAGGCCATTCTACCTCTTGCTCACAAGGGAATCTGAATGTGACAGTGTGGGGAAGAGGTATTAATTTATATCCAACTGGAAAGAACGCCATGTAGGAGGCTGGCCACTGCTGAATCAGTTGTGTAAGATATGTGTCAGATCCTATGGGGCGGCTGGGTGGACCTGCTCTCAGACTGTGGGGAGGAAACCTGCTGAATGAGCCTCCTTTGGAGTTCCACTGTGGGTAAACAGCTCTGCTTAGAGCTCTACCCTCTGGGCAAATAGCAAGTTGTTTTTGAGGGGAGGAGACTCAGCTGGTGGTAGCTGGTGCTGGAAGAAGGAGCCGCCTAGGCTTGCTCAGGATTTTGAGTTCACAAGTAGATCACAGGAAGCTGAGAAATCCCAAGAGGCGAGGGTGTGGAAAAGAAAGTCTGGCCAAGGCCAAGCGGGTGTTTAAAGCTAAGCAGGTGAACTGGGAGAGGGACTCCCCGGTTCCCACCAAGCTTCCTGTAGCCATCATGAGATGGTATAGTACACGGGTCCCCTCAGTTGAGCACTTATGGCTTTTGGGTGCTGAGTTCCGGGCTGAGCCCCTTTCTTGAAATTGTAGTAACAATAGCTGACATGTTTCTGAGCTTGTTTTGTCTCATGTACTGTTTTAATACATCAATGTCTTTTCTTAGACCATTTTCCTCCACTTTCCTGGGAGCCAGAGCAAAAAGGGGCAGGCTTTTTTTTTTTTTTTAATTGTAAACCTCATGTCCAACCTCTACAGAAGATCTGAGAAAGAGATAGGGAGTGAATTGGTTACGGTTGGACAATTTAAAACTAGACTAAGTAAGGAGAGTGCGGAAGGGAGGGGAGAAAGAGAATGAAAATTGTGGATATTTGGAATGTGCACGTCATCCTTAGTGTGGAGAGAGGGAAATATCACAGAAGACAAACAATGAATCAAGCAAGACTGTTTTCATGGTCTCATGAACTGTTCAGTAGGCCAGATACATTAATCACCCACACTCTTGGGCATTACATCCTAACCTGCTCTTCCAATCATCAGCTGCAACTCATTTTACCTCTCAGCATTAGAAGAAACTCCTTGTTCAAACCTGAAGCTTGCTTCTAAAAGATTGACATCTTATCTCATGGTGGAAAGCTGACAGTTGCTTTTTCTCTGGGGTTCATATGTCAAGGCACAGTGATGGCGCTGAGGTTAGACCAGAGCATGAGAAGATAGTCACAAATAAGGTTCCAAATGCTTCCAAGACGTGGATTCTAAACCCCGGTAAGATGGCTGCCTGATTCCATCCTCAAGCAGGTGCAATTTGGGAATGGAGCTGAGAGCCCTTGTCAAGCATCTGGGAGAAATAGCCCAACTGTCCTTCAGAGAATCTGGGTTTCCCAAGGATGGGAGTCAGGGTCTTGGAGGACTCGGGGTAGAAGTTATAGTCAAGGCTTTGTAGCACTTCTTGAAAGGTACATCATTGGGCCAGAGACAAGAGTTGTTCTGTCTGAGCTTTCTCTGACCTTGGGAGGAATGAGAATTATGATAAATTTAGGAATAACGTGAGCCTGGAACAGGCCCTCAAGTGTCTCCACTAGGAACAGCAGACCAAGCAGGCCAACACTTGGAGCTATGTTGAGAATCTTAAGAAGACACCTGCCTTAGTCATGGTCACTATTGCTGTGATGAGACACTATGACCAAAGCAACTTGGGGAGGAAAGGGTTCAGTAGGCTCATGCTTCCTTAGCACTGTTCATCACTGGAGGAAGTCAGGACAGGAACTCAAATATGGCAGGAACCTGGAGGCAAGAGTTGATGTAAAGGCCGTAGAAGAGTCCTGCTTACTGGTTTGCTCCTCATGCTTGCTCAGCCTGCTTTCTTATAGGACCCAAGGCCACCAGTCCAGGGATGGCTCCACTAATTAAGAAAAAAGCCCCTACAGTCTTGTCTGCTTAAAGCTCTGTTTTCTGAAGGCATTTTATCAATTGAGGTCCCCCTCCAATCAGATCACTTGTGTCAAGTTAGCATAAAATCAGTCAGCATAACAATATGAGGGAATGGCACCATTCATGTCAGTTCCTGTCCTGCTTAGCATAGGCTATCAACTTGCACAGCCTCAAATCTTCTGGGAAAAAAAGTCTTTATTGAGTAATTGTCTTTATCAGTTTGGTTTGTAGGCTTGTATATAGGGATTGTATTGATTATTAATTGATGCAGGAGGGCTCAGACCACTGTGGGTGGCACCATTCCCTGGCAGGGGGTCCTGAGTTGTATAGGAAATTAATGAGTGAGCCAGCAAGCAAGTTTCCTCCATTATTTCTGCTTCCAGATCCTGCTGGAGTTCCTGATATGAGTTCCTGTAACAATGGACTGCAACCTGAGAGTTGAAATAAACCACTCCTTCATTATGTCGCTTTTAGTCAGTGTTTTATTCCAGCAACAGCAAGGAAGCAAGAACATGGTCCACACCTTGAATAACTCTACAAGTTTCTCCTTGTGATCTTGGATTGATCTAAGAATAGGTACCTTCAAGTCTACCTTTACATTAACGTCATTTCTACTGTATTTCAGAAAGAACAAACTTCAAATAATTGAGGTTATCATTGTCCCCAAGTACCCCAGGTGGTCAGTTCATACATTCTTATGTTCATTTCTTCCACAGTTGTTGACAGAATGTCTTGAACTTACCTTCCTTGGTTCTAATGATCCTTGACTCCCCCAAGAGACAGCTGGCAGGAAGACATCTTAGAAGCACAAAGACTTTTTCCTGCAGCTGTGACAAGATGGTGTGAAAAGGGTAGTCACAAACTTCAGGACAGCCAATGGCTCGCTGGAGAAAAAATATGAAGAAAGCTTTGCTTTTCACATTTGTCCCTCTTTTCTGGTGACTCAGTCATAGCAGTTTGTCAGCTTCTCTTGTGGAGAGTGAAGTGGGAGGCTGGTAGTAGCAACACTGGCTTCCAGCTGCCTCCAGTGCCTCATGATGATCCGGATTAATGTTCCAGGTTGGGCTGTTTAGATATGTCACCGTCTGAGACGTGAGGGACCACAGAGCACTTGATATTACAGAAGTAGTGGGCTTTGGAATCGGCCAGGGTGAAACTCTTGCATTTTCTATATTGTTTCAGAATAAGATAGAAGTGAGATTTGTGGTTCACGTGCATTGAAAAGCTCTTTCTTATCTCCAGAGTGTCAAATATGCCTTGGGAATGGGCTAGGAGTTTCCTGTCCTCAGCCTGTCTCATGAGGGGAGGCTGATGAGTAGTGATGGCTTGCTATTTAGCCAAGTGATTTGGATTGAATCTTGTTTTTAGCTCAGCTCTTATAGAGGTAAAGAAATTACTGCATGATCTCACCCTTGGCCTGCAGCCCTGAGCTATCACGATAGCAGAGTCAGCATACCAAATGCAGACACCTTCATTCTCATCTCAAAATGACTGGACCCGAAAACAGGAGGCCTTTTTTCCATATGAATTTTATTCTTAATGTTTCAAGCCTGTGGCTTCCTTCTGAGGAACTTCTTTGGTAGAGTAGAGAAAGGGAAGAGAGGAAAGACGGAGTGAAGGGGAGGAGATAAAGCCTTTACTGACACACTCAGGCAAACTTCCTCATGTGCATCAGAATTCAGGTGAGTGCATACCCGGGCCTTTGTGAAGGGCACTGCACAAATGCATGTGGACCTTCCCCCCAGAGTTTTAGAAACTACAGTCACCAGGAATACAGCAAACCTTTGCTCTGCTTTGGAGCAAAACAGGCCCTTTTTGGTACTCCTGTGCTTCGGAGTTCTGCAGCTCTCCAGCCTGATGTCTCACTCGCTCCAGCTGGCAGCTTGCCCTACAGCCCTCAGCCTTGTTCCCTCCAGTGAGTATGCCAGGCAGCATGTTTGCTTTGCCCAGAGCCTCGAGGGACAGCAGTTCCAGCTCTTCGCTGGATGCAAGCATTTCAAGTAAGCCTTGCAAGCTCAACAGAACCCGGAGGAGCTGCACAGGAGGAATCTGGGCGAAGCTGTGAGCCTGGCTCCACTTTCATCTCTAACCTGCCCCCAGTCACCCATCCTGTCCGCCTGAGCCCAGGGTCCAGGAGGCTAAGGCCCTGGGGAGTACTGTTCTCACCCAGAGTTCTGTCTTGGAATTGCACTGCTGATACCAGTGTCTCTTTTTCAGAGGGGAGTGCCTGGCCCTGGGCTGCTGAGGAAATGCATCACTTACCACCCTTCAGAAAGACGGGACAAAGGCCTGGGAGACAGCCCAGCAGGTGGAAGGTCTTGCTGTTTCAAGCGTGAGAACCCCAGGTTAGAAGCCCAGGACTCAAGTAAAAAGCCACCACAGTGGCACACGTGTGTCCTTCTAGATCTGGGAGGTGAAGACAGCAGGCATCTGCTGGCCAGGCGACTAGCTGAGTCAGTGAACTTCAGGTTCAGCAAGAGACCCTGCCTCAAAAAATAAGGCCGGCTAGATAAAGAGCTACAGGCAATTAATGTCCCTGAGAGAGGGAGAATCATTCCCCAGGGATAAGCCTCCTGATTGGTCATCTGATCCCAAGTGGTCAGCCCTGAAACTATGCATACCAGCAATGCTAAATGGACTCAGCAAGTTGTATTTATACATGTATATGTATACACACATGTAGCAATAATAATTAAAGAAAAAAAGACAGAGAAAATAGGTGAAGAGCAGTAGAGGGAGATACTCAAAATTGACCTCTGACATCCACACAGGCCACATATGCATGCTCCTCTGTGCACATGCATGTGTAAACATGTACACACACACACACACACACACACACACACACACACACACACACACAACCTGGGAACAGAAGAGGTGTTTTCTGACTGAGGAGAAGGAAACTGAGAGGGGCTTTAGAAGTAGGGAAGCTCAGCTCAGGTGGCTGGAGAGAGCTTGGAGGGAATGAAGACCCGGCAGGGTTAGTCTTTCCTGATGCTGTGAAAGGCCAAGGCCTCCCAACAGGGCTCTTCTGCGCTGTCCTCAGGACTACCATCTATTGACTTTCTAGATGTCTAGACAAGTATGTATCCTGCCCAGGCCTAGGAGTCCGTTGATGGATTCAGCTTCTCGCATAGGTATTCCACAGAACAAACAATTAGGAAATGTTTGGTGGCCTCAGTCTACCTGTTAACCATGAGCAGAACTCAGCAGTGGGGGAGAGAGTGAGAAGGCAGGTGAGGTGTGAGGCAGCTTCATGGAAGAGAAGGGTAGTTGGCCCTTCTGTGAGTCATGGGCCCTAAACCCTTTCAGGAAGTCAGCATAGACTTCTGAGAACCCCAGTGCAGGCTTTGCTGTCAAGGCAGGAAGGAAGACGGCAGCTGACTGCCTTCCCTTGCTCCCTCCCCTCATCTTCTTTAGGCTCTATGGGATGGAGGGCAGCAGGTCTCTCTTTAGATACCCATCACCAAATTGATGGCTCTGCCTGTGTGCACAACCCCATATTTTTCCCATTGAAGAGGAAACAGGGACATGAGCTGCTTCATCTCTTCTTACATTGACCCAAGGACTTGTTCCCATAGTCACCATTAAATTATCTCCTCTGTCTCCTTCATTGACAGTTTGTCCTCTGCAAAGTGATTTCCATTAATGGAATTCACTCCAGTGCCTCCCATCTTAGCTGCCAATGCATTTCTCTGCCCTATTTTTAATCAAAGCTCTTCCAAGCATCGTTACATATTTGTCTAGCTATTAGCCTCCTACGTTGGTTTAAAATATTCCACTCACATCCGTCTCTCTAACCTTCTTTCACTCTGGTCAAGGTCACTAATGAGTTTTATTTTGACCAAGTCAAGAGTTTGATCATATCTTTTACAGTGCCCAAGTTATGCAATGCTTGTTCACTCCTGTCTCCAAAGCCCTGTGCTCTGCTCCTGTCT